TGCTGAAAATCATATACGCTAAAAACGAATTTTTGCTTGCTAGAAATATTAAGAATTTAAGTGCAATAGACTCTAAGCATTTGAAAGTGGCTCAAAATTGGGTTCAAGTTTTATTTCTATAATTAGTTAGAATTGAGTTAAAGAAGACTTCAACAATTTTCTTAATTCTTTTCATTGTAACACCAATTCTTTGAATTTCGATATTATAATTTATATTTTTAAAAATTATTAAACACGCAGAAACTCAAATTTAAAAACGAAAAGCAACTTTTATTCGTGAACTACAGGTAAAAATAATAACTCGAATGTGCTTGAACAAAATTACCTTCTTGCTGTATGTCACTCTCTCTATCTCTCTCTTAACGATTTTCTCTCTCTCTCTCTCTCTCTTTCTCTAGAGCAAGCGGAAACAATTGTCAGCGCCATCGTCACTCAGCAGAGCCATTTTGTTGTTGGCAGTTAAGGGCTCCATTGCGTTTTATGCTATTGTGAGGATTGCCAAGCGTTTCGACTGTTTCGTTATTTCGCTGCTTTACCAGACTTGGCCGCTTGGCCTTTTTGTGGCTTTACGGCTATTTTGCATTAAATTGCAAATGATATGCTAAAGGGAAAAGGGCCTAACCAAATATGAAAGTTGGGGGTGGTTGTCATCTCCATTGAGCATTGTTACGCTGGCATTTTAATTGAAGTTTTTACACACACCCAGACACACATGTGCGCGTGTGCACATTAAAGTGTTAAATGCCATTTGCTGGAATGTTTGTTTTTTTTTTTCTTTGTCTTGTTTGGGTTGTGCTATGCATATCAAATGAATGAGGCCACCCTCTCATTTTGGGGTCGCTTTTGAGTAAGTCTACATCATTACATCTGGAATATGACACCTGAGATTGACCGAAACGTGCTCGGCAGAGGGGCAGACACATGTACTTGCGTAATGTGATGTGCCTTTAATAGCATACATAGACAGTTGTTTGTGGTCGTGTTATTTTAGTTATAAGCCATGTCATAAGTATGTAAAGGACAGTTAAACAAGCCACAAGTATTTTAATATGCACTAGAAACAATTTAGTGATTAGACTGAAAGTTAACTTTCCATAGCAATAGCAATACCTATAGCTAAATATCTTTTTAATCAAATCACATCTATGCCATTTAAGCAATTTAAAATCCATCAAAAACTTCTAGCTTATTGAATCACAAACATAGCGAAGACATTTCTACATTTCAAGCAGTTTATCAATAAGTATACTAGAATATGATAAAAGCTTAATTATGCGACATCAAGCAAGCGATTAAACGATCAATCAGTCTTTGAGAGCATTCATTAGTACAAGGTTTTATTCATTAAGCAACTGTTAAAGGTCTCACAATATATTTACCTACATACTAGCAACGTATTTAACAGTTTTCAATCAAGCTAAAGAATACTCAAATATTGAACAGACTTTATTAAGCTGTCGGGAACTTTTTCAACCCCAATCTTCTCCAACGGTCATAAGCTGCCAGAGGCTTACTACACTTCCAGGTGCCTCGATTGCCCACTTCATAAATAAACAATTAGGCACCACCCAGCGAGCAACATTTGTGTGGATTCACAGACAGCTATTAGGAACCACTAACTGTCCTTTGCCCTAAACCTTTGCTAATCGTCGAAACTTGTGAAGTTCTTTTTTCTTTTTCCTTTTTTTAAACTGAATAAGCTTTTTGTTAGGCTCTTTTGCATGGTCAACCTTTTCCAGCTGCCGACTTAATATGTGTTTAATAACCACACGGAACTGAGAAAGGTCTGTCTACCGGTCGGGCATTAGTTTCCTATACCTTTGCTCTTCCGCACGCTTACATATCAAATTTGCCAATGTACAAAACAGTTTCCGCTTCCGGCCATTTTGTCTGTGAACGCTTGTGCTCAACCCAAATTCGAAACGTTTGCAACTTTTGTTTGGACCAAAAACTTACGCATTATTGTTGTTGGCCTTAACCCTTATGCTAGAATAGGTATGCGTGTGTGTGTGTGCGTGTGTGTGTCGGTGCCCGCGGGCGCGTTTGTCTGCAAAGTTTGGCTTGCAAATATCATTGCCTACCTAGAGGCAGCTTAATCAAATATGCATGCAATGGAGTTTCATATTGTTTACCACACCGCACAGCTGCTTCAGTAATAAGTGTCATAGGTTTTGCTTATCCGAAGCACAGGTTGCCGCCGTGCCACTTGCCCCGTGGCAACAACCACTTCAAATGTCAGTTAATAAATTGCAAAACGTTTTTCTGCGAATCGACAAACCGACAACCCAACAGCCCAGCAACCAACTGCACTTAATGTCAGTGACACACACACGTATTCGTCTAACCCCCCGACCAACAGCCCAAAACAACAGGGCAGCAGCTGAGGCGCTGTGGAGCAGCAATAGGGAGCTGAAGCCCAGGGCAGACAATGGAGTTGCCGCTGTTGACATGAAGCGTGACGAGAACAAGGACTGCGACCCTGCAACTCGATCCCGTGCCGCGACAGACATTTACAAATAAACAGCGCTAAATTATAGGTGCCTCGTGGGTGAAAGCCAGGCGCCTTCTGCTCCTTCTGCCACTTGTAAATAATATGGCGGCAGGCTACACCTGTAGACGACGTCGTCGCCATCGTCTAACTTTTAAATACAACAACAACAACTACGCTCCCTGGCATACCAATTACAGCAGCAACAGCTCGCCTGAAAAGCAAAAAAAACTAATTTTATAACAACGAAACTTGTATGATCTAAGCTTGTGAAATATATCTGAAATGCTTCTGGTGCACCGAACTATTTGAGATGAACACATCAATTCTTCAAGTCTAACAGAAAATGTCAAAGTAGAAAAGAATATTTCAACTACACCAAAGAATTTCATGCATTTATCGCGTTTAAGGACATAGTTCTAAGCAATATGCTGTTTATAATTTGAGAATTTAGCTAAAATACTTGTTTAGCATTATTCAATGTGAGCGATTTTTTCTTTTAAATCTCAGTGATATTTGCAGCTTTTGCATTTCGTTGCAAAAGACATGACCAAGTCAAAAGTAACGCTTCCCAGGAGCCAAACGAAGTTCAGGAGCACGTTACAAAACACAAAGTTCAAGTTGACGACGCTGAATTGCACTTTGGTAAGAAGCGCAGGTAAAGTTATCCAGGTGCAACTCCAGCTCCAGTTAGTGGCTCACAGTTCGCAACACAGTTCACAGTTTGTAACTATTAGGCTGACATTGTTGCAATTTTTATCGATGATGCAACTACCAAGGCCAACGGCAATATGCGAGTACACCTGTCTGTAATTACAATACACGTGCATTGCAAACGCATTTCGATCTTTGGAAAAAAAGTTTTTCAATTAAATTTATGCTGCAATCAAAGCCAATGCCGAAGCCGAAGCTGTAAATACTTTCAGGATGCGTTGTTCACAATTAATTGCATTGCATTCATTTCAGTCACATAATGAGCGGGCGTGCCATTGTGGGCTTGGAGGCGTGGCAGGTAACTGAAACGTGTTCAAAGTTGTTTTTCACAAGTTTTCTTTGCCTGTCACGTTGTTGCCCGGCGCGAAAACTTTCCACGAAAACTTGTTTCTCTTTATGCTTTGCTCCGAAATTATCTTTTTGTATTTGGTTTCTTGGTTTTTGAATGCGCCCGCTCGCTCTAACACCAGGTCAGTTTGCCCCCTGCCTGCTCTAACGCAGAGTGCGATAAATTTAAACTTTACCGACAGGGCGGTATTCTATTTTTTTTTTTTTGTGGTTGCTGCGAAGAGTTTTTAGTGCTAAACAATGAACTTTCTTCAAGGTGGAATATGGTTTGAAATGGTTATAGTTATAGAGGTAAAATGGGATTTATGTAAACATGTAAGATCAAATATTTATTGTGATCAAATGTTGAATAAACGGCTTTTTAACCAACTAACACACAAATTCTAAATAAATTGTCAGCGTATAATTCTTTCAATTTTTCAACAGAGAAAATATAGTCTCAATTGCAACTTATTTAAGCAATTTTGTTGAACATTTATTTTGGTTGCTAGCTTGGAACTTAAGTTCGCCCTTGGACAGCTGCAACTGCAGCTTCAACTTGGCCGCCCTTCAGACATTGCGACACTGCATGTCACGATGCCAGTGGCAGTTGGAATCGCATGCGTCTGGCTAGAAATCCCTGATTTAATGGCGTGGAAAATTAGAAAACGTTTGCCTTGGCCTGGCTGGGCCGGGATGTAATCGTCTGGCAGCTGTCAAACCGACTGGCCTCGATTTTCTAGGGTCGCCAGTTAAATGTTTGGCATTGGGACAACTGCAGCAGTGTTGAACGGTTGCCAAATTGCCTGCCTCTGATACGGCTGCTCAGGTGCTCGAAAATTGCATCTAATGACTTCATAAATTAAAGCCAGCATACGACACACACGAGCATACGCACACATACGCAAGAGATTCTGTCGTAACTTTATTCAAATGAAGTTGGCGGCTTTTTAGCTGCTTCCGTGTGCATTTTTAATGAAGTTTGGCGTTGCGGCTTTTTGTTTCTATACGCCCACAGCCGCGCCCACATCTTTAGCGGTCGGCATTTGCCAAAAGGCTCAACTTGCGCAGCTCGCCCCGCCTTATAAGAGCCTTTGCAGCTGCGTCTCACTAATAAATGTGTCTGCCGGCAAGTCTACAAAGTGCTTTTAATTAGTTGTGTTAGCTTACTGCGAAAAAAAGGCGAGTGTGCAGATAAAATAAAACTCTAAAACAGAAAACTCTTTCGTTTTCCGCTGCCATTGTTTAACAAGTTGGGTGTTAATTTTTATTAAAACTTTTCTCCCATCGCCAGTTCATTAAAAATGTTTTAATATAGCGTTATCTCAAGATGCGCAACATATATCGCATTGAGGGAGACAATTCCAACCTGCTAAGAGGCATCGTTACGAAATTTTGATTTGTCCTTAAACATAGCCCAGAAATGCTTTGTGCCTGTACGGTTAGCAAATCTTCAATGCTCTCAAAATAATTCTTCTTTCTCGTTATATTTTCAGTTTCATTCTATATAAGTATTGATTAAAACAAATGTTAAATCTATTGTAAAGTTATTAGATTTCGATATTTATCAGTTTATTTGATTGTCAAATGGCATCCACACTGCCGGCGTAACTTGTCGGACCAGTACCTCGTATTTACTGATCTGTCTCATAGGGAAATTTTCGTACCGGATGAAACACACCTTTTGCGCAAGATACAGGGTGCCAATGAAAATACCGCCATCAGTTCTGGCGCGGCAGACGTAAACACGTTCGTTTAGGTCGCTTGTGCCCACAGAAACAGCATTCCTTTCCCTGAAGCCATCGTAACTGCGCACCCAGTGATAGCTGACGGTCTCATTGGCGACCAGCAACTCGTAGGAGGTCGCCTGATTAGCTACCGCTTGCGTGTTAAAAGTGGCATAGCCCGTTTCGGACCTAACACGGGCTGGCACAATCGAGCTTGCATATGGGACGCGTGCCACATAGTTGTCATAGCCGTATGAATCGATGCCGCCCAGAACAGCATTATCGGGGAAATTCTTCGACTTGTCGGAAAGCAGCCAGCGATCTGTATTATCATATACACCGCAATAGATAGTGCCCAAGAGCTGGGCAAAAATCAGTGCACAGGTAATGAGTTTCGAATACATTTCCTTAACTTAACGGTAACTAATCAAAGACTGTTGTGCAGATTGTGGGAGTAGACGGTGCTTATATATGCGGCTAGCTCATGGAGCAGGGAATCACTTACTGATAAGGCCGAGTGTTATAAATCTTTGTGTTATGAGGGGGTAACCCTTTGAACTGACCATTGATTAGATATGCCAAAATAAACGTTTGGTTTCGCTTTTAATTAGAATGCCGCACGTTTTACGAAATTAATAAGAACTATTAGTAATGTGTTGTTAAGAGAAAATTGCAAGTCGAATCTATAAATATAAATACTAAATGTATATTATTATATATTTAGTATATAATAATATACATTTATATTTTGACGAGAGCCAACGGCAAAACGTTTGGCAATTAGTTGCGCTTGACAAGAGTAGGGAATATTCATTAAAACTTTCAAGGAAACGCATCGTTTGAAGACAACGCAGCCCCTGCCACAAGTTGCCTTGTTCGTGCCCAACCACATGTGTAAAATGTGTCATAAACATTTGTTGAATGTGCAGCGATGCATGCTGAGAATGGCTCAAAAACTCACACAAAACAGGTGCCAGTTGACAGGTGAGCAGGTGGAAGCCATTGTTGCCGGTCAACTGTCAAGCAAAAGTCAAAACCATAAGTCGTACCACAACACACGGCTCAAGGTGGCCATTCCCTCTCTCTCTCTCTCTCTCTCTCTCTCTCTCGTTCTCCATCACTGTGTTGGTTTTTGTGGCTAGAAAGCCACATGAATATGCCATAAAGACTCTAAGCCATTTCAACCAGTGCAACTTTAAGCTGCCTTAAAGTGGCTCAGACATTTTTTTTGGTAGTTACATTAGGCTGACTGACGTCTGGGCCATTTAATTTATGCAAAACAAGAGGACAAAATGACACGAACTAATGCTTCGTTGCCTTTGATCTTATGCTAAGTGAGGGCGTCGCCTATGAGGGGGTGCGGGATAATCCGCCTTGAATACACTATAGTCTATGGACGCTGTTGGCGTCCCGTTAATTTTCAAGTCAAATTGGCGTCTTTATTTGTTTACATTTGCTAAGGGTATTACAACGACGTAGCCGACCCCATCATGAACAGCCGAGACTTATTTCCCAGTTTACTTTTTTTATGCTCCCAATATGAATAAAAATTTAAAATTGGGTATCTATGAAAACACAAAAATCACTTGGTATAGTTAGCATCTGTGTGTAAGGGTATCTAATCTTCGGTGAGTCAACGATAACTTTTTTTTCTTTTATTATTTCTTATATTTTTTCGCGCCAGCCTTAAAGTTTTTATTCCTTCTGCGTGTAGTTGTTTTTTTTTTTTTTTTTTCAACCTAAGCTTCCCGTTCCATGAACAGTCAAAATCAGGGCTAACATTACACAAGCACGCGTCATGCCGGAAACGGAAATGGCAAGCATCATACGGAAGCGTCTCTCTCTGTGTTTATTTGTATTTGTTTGGCCCTGTCATGGGCACGAAATTCAATTTAAATACCGCCCGTGTGAATTTAAGCCCAGCTTTTTCTGTGTTACGTCCAAATTAGATTTGTGGCAATCGCATGAATCTAGTTAATTATAAACCTCTCCCTTGTTTAACCGTAACGCCCACAAAGGGATGTTAAAGGACTATTATTTTTTTGACATTTCGCTTGAGCATATGTCAGTGATAATAAGAACTAGACACTCCATTAATAATCATTTAGTTTTTGAAATTTTTTTAACAATCCAAAATGATTGTCATATAAGTATTTTAAGCACGGTCACTTGTGTCTCTCTTTTCAAACTACTTTTATTCTATTATTCTCCTTTCGATTGCATTAACTCGAGGAGGAATTGTGAACATTGGACAGCCGTGTTCAGTCGTGCGTTGATTTATAACACCTTGAAATGCAATAGGGAAATCGCATGTTAATTACATTGTGGCCCCGAGCGAGCCGTACACACACGCACGCGCCGCATGAGGCAACAGCAAGGTGAAAAGGAAAAAAGAAACAACAATGCCGCGCAGCGCATATCATGCTAAGCTATGCCACGGAATGCTGCATCTACTGCCCTCATATAGGGTTACACATTAATATTGGCTTGTCACAACTGTTAGCCATAAGAAACTAGAAACCATTTGCAACAAGCTGCCCAATGCAGCTCTCTCAGACGCGTCTCTAACTCTTTTGTGCTTGCCACAGAAACCACATGCAATATACTCGCAGTCAAAAGGCAGGCAACAGGACAACCTGAAATGCAACACCGCCAGGCAATCAACTGGTGTTTCAGTTTCCATTAAGCCAGCGCAACACACAACTCGCCACATTACCCAACATCCCACTAGCTAGTACACACACACACACACATACACATATACTGACACACGCATACGTGCACCTGACAACGTCTCGAGTTTAGTGCTAGCCGCAACCATGAGGAACCCCTATGGGCTGACTAACTCCACAGTATTTGCCGCCAAAGCGAAACAAAAAATATCCCAAAACAAATGGAAAACTTTTGCGAGAACAAATACCAACGCTCTCTGGAAAGGCAACTGGAACGCTTGGTGAATCAGTAAAATGTAAACACCCCTCCGATTGTCTACGTCATTTGGGATATTTTTGCTACCCCTGTTTATGCGAGGGGGTTGCTTCATGTACCTCTCATACACACCTTGACTTAATTGCCATCTGACATTTATTGCTGCCCAGCGTGTCGTTCAGGCGCAGGCATCATGCTCTCATGAGCACAGGCAGCCAATGTTCGCGCATATATCACGGCCATACAAATTGGTGAGTTGGTTAGTCCAGACATTGATGCGAAGCACCAAACAAATCTGTCCCGATAACATGCTTGTCACTGGCAGAAACAGCGAAACAAGATTGAAATTTAGAACGAAAAACTCTAGAGTAAAGCACGTAAGTCAAGCTATTCGTTATAGAATCGTAGTAAAGTATTCGAAGCCATATTGAAAAATAAATAAAAGCTTAAAGGAAAAGATTTCCGGATGAAGGATGCTTGATATTTTTGTATTGTATATTTTTGTCACAAATCTGGTAAATTGGTAACCTGAACATGAAAGAATGAGCTCTGTTTGGTATTTGCACAAATAAATGCACGAATTATAAATTCAGGTACTTAGAAATGATTTTTACAGTGCAAATTCAGTCTGCGTCATTGCATAAACTTTTTGGTAGCTATGGGAAAGTTATTATTTATTCAGGAAATTAACATGACAACTGCTTATTAACAAGGCTGTCAGCAATCAGTCAAAATTATATTTCCATTAGGGCGGGGCAAGACTGAAGAGCTGAATGCAAATATATTACAGTTCAAGCACTAATAATCACAGTGCTAAGTGGACAGCACGAATAGTACCCATAATAATAATATAGTAGAATAAATATGTATATGGGAAACAAGCTGCGATTTGAACAAACAAAAATGTTAGCCATAAATGAGCAAAAATTGTGTGGCCTCAAGTTAAGCCGGGCCGTGCGAGTCATGGCAACGTAATGCGTTGGCTGGGATTAAAGCCGGACACGCGACCAGACCAAAACATATGCCAATAATGTTTACGGCGGAGGTGCAGCACGGCAGCGACGGATCAGCGACAGTAGCACGCAAATGGTATGAACAAAAATAAACTGATAAGCGACTGGCTGAAAAAACAATGCCACTTTTTGGTCGGAGGGGTGGCGAATTATGCAAGTGCCGAGCGAAAATATGTTGCATGCGACGACAGCGACAAACAAATAAACAACCAACCCAACCAACAAACAAACAAACAAATAAGCAAACAGACAGACAAATAAACTGAAGCGCATTTCTGAGTGCGGGGGAAACAACTGACAAATGAATGCGAGACGGCAGCGGTGTGAGTAGCCCAGAGAAAGAGACAGACAGACACATTGAGTGGATTAAAGAGCGAGCGAGAGCGTAGGCGACACAGCATTTGGGCAATGGAAATCAATTATTCATGCGCTTGGCCACGCAGCTAAAAAGTATGCTAGGCATGCGACAGTCCAACGCCGCCGCCCAACGGTATGCAACAGTTTTTCCAACTGCTAACAGACAAATGAAAACCAGCGCCAAACCATTGAACCGCCTCCACCTGCCCGACCACCGCCCGCTGCAAGGCATCCCAAACACGAGTCCATTGCCTAGGATGATGGCATTTGTTTGTGTTTGATTTGCGCCAACTGTGATTAAAGGGCAGCAGGCGGTTGGCCATTCAGCGGGCAGCGGGCAGCGGGGGCGTGATGCAGCCCCGCCGTTACGTGCAAATGAAGTTTAATTTAACAGTAGCCAAACAACAAGAGCATCTCAATCAGTTAACACACAGCGTGAACTGCATACTCTGTAAGACCGAACTTATAATAAAGAATCTAATAAGAAGAATATGAATATACATAAAGCTATTGTTAATATTTCCGAGCTTTAAATAAAACAATAGGGCTATATAAAGCTTTAAGCTATTTTGCTTGTATTTTATTGTGGGGACTGAAAGCTTTAAGAATGTGCGACTGGCACGAATAATGTGTGAGTGTCTGCCAGCTTTCAAGCCTTTTCTTTCTAACACTTAAGCATAAATTCGCAAACACTAGAGCTTTCAGTGCTTTTCCAGTGGAAGCAATATTAATAATATTATTAATGAGTAAACAAATAATATTTGTTTACTTTAGATGATTTGTTGTGAAACAATATGAGGTACATTGTCATAAAGAAAAGGAAGACCTTTGGTTACAAACAACATTGCAAAATTAAGATACCTCATGGAAATTGGTGCCTAACTAGGGACACCATTGGAGGGTACTAATTAAATTTGGCCACCGGCGACAGCTACTTTGATGCACACTGATAGGATGAATGAATCTAAAACCTAGCCGCATGCTGCTTAGGCAGCTGCTTTCTTTAGCAGCAAGAGAATAGCATGCCCGGCATGCTTTCAGGCGTAAAGTGTTTGATTATGGTCATTTATTCAGCACTGTCTGCAGCCCAATTTGGTTGTTGTGTCTACTTTTTGGAGTGTGCAGCTCTCAACCCATCAAAAGCATCGCACCCTATTATCTTTTGTCCCGTCAGGGGGTTGCCATGGATTTTGGTTTTTGGGCATTCGTTGGGGCTCGCATCGT